GCGATTTGGGTTTCTTTTTGGGACGACGAGACGAAGATTCAGCAGCAGCATGCGGAGAGGATGCTGCTGATTTCCAAGGGATTCTGAAACGAAATGGAAGCCTCTTTCGTTCCATGGATGGTTTCTACTTGGCGTTTAGAATGACTCCAAATCTATTTTGGCTCAATGTGATGCTGCAGTTGCGTTTGTGATCTACTTGAACAGGACAAACATTTATACCCGCCACACTTCATGGAATTTTGATCATATTTTTGGCTATAACGTGTAATTTAGTGCTTCTTCCTGCGCAGCATTTCCTATGGACTCCGCCAAATCAGTCTTAATTAAAAGATTGCCTCTCATTCTCATATTCTTCCAGTGTTGTACTGGAGAAATTGCTTTTACCTCCTGCCAAAGCAATTCCCACCTTATGCTTTGCTTCTTCCTGGCATTTATCCGTTATGGTAGTATTGATCATTCATCCACGTGGTGAAAACTAATTTAATTGTGCTTTAGCTGAACTGAAAGTTCTCTTTTACAATTCTTTTCTTTATTTTTTTTTTAAAAATTAGATATATTGCGTGCGTGGAGGACGTCCATGGAAAAGGCTAATGCATGCTAAAAAGTGCCTTTCGTCGTACAGTCTAACAAGAAAAGGATTCTAGACAGGACATTTTTTTTTGGAGGGGGGTAGGGGCGGCGGAAAAATTTCTGGACAATCTACCTTGGCTCCAAACATAACATTGAACCTTTCCACTCAAGTTCTGATTTTATACACATCAAATCAAATAGCAGCATAAACAATTATTTTGCCGGTGACATAACCCAAGAATCTTTTAACTTGGAGATTCACTGGGTTATCCTATTTGATTCTGATGCATTGCATCATTCGCATCCGGCTTATGATCCATTGACTGATGATGCCGGACCTGTTTCTCGGACTGGTTTCTAGTTTGAAGCTGACAAATGAATTTCCTATATTTGATGAGAAGATATAATAAGTATTTCACAAGTTCCATCTCCCTTTGGCCTGTATCTTTGGCTTTGTCAATCTGCAACTTGAGAGCTGCTTTCTCCTCTGAGAGAGCTATAGGAGAAGCTATTTTCAAGCTCAAAGTTGCTATCTGAACAGCATCAAGTTCAACATCGTTTATAAATCCTGAACCGGGCAAGTCCTTCTTAAGCAGTTCCAGTAATGCCTTCCTAGCTTCCTCTTCTGCGAATTCCAAGGAAAATTCTGCAGCTCTAAGATCATGTATGGTTCCAGATATCTGTAAGTCAATTCGCAAGGAAAATACGGGCAAATGGTCAACTATTCAGCCCAAGAGAACAAGACCAACTGTGATCTTATCAAGCATGTTGCGATGATAGGATTCTATTGAAGAAATGAAACAAGAGTTGTTAATAGCTGGAACTTGAAACCCACCTCAGCATCCAACAAAATTGGGACTACTTGTTGAATTTGGGTCAAATATAACTCCAGGTCACTCCGTATTTTTTCACATCTTGAAACTATCTTGTGTGCCATGACTGCCTGAAAGATTTTCCATTTCAAGTAAACAGACGGTTGAATTTAATAAGCATGCCATTTATTGGTCATCATTCACAGGTGATAACAAACGAACAAGAATGTCTGAAATTAATAAGTTGAAATTGAGCTGAAGCAGCAAGGATCACAAAGGTGACAAAGATTAGTTGGGTATTAAATCACCAGGTAGAGTTTGCTGGACTGAGAACATTGCCGGATAACTGACTTGGCCTTATCCAAAGTGAAATGTAAGGAGCACAATGCCCGAACTGCTAACGCACAATTTGGCCGGGCGGATTCAACGGCTAGTACAATTTGCGAAATTCTTTCGGTAAATTTCCCAAGCTGCAGGCATATTGAACGATGCACCTGCACAAACGAGAAATTAGAATGAAATATGAGTAGCTGAAAGAGACTTGTGAAGAAACTATATATATATATATATATATACATGCATATTCATTTCGTTAAATTCTCTGCTTCCCTGTTAAGTGCTCAACACTAAGCTGTTTCTTAACCTAACTCTTGAAGCGGGTGAAGTTTAATCAAGCAACAAAATGCATCAATGGAAAGGGAAACATGGTGAGTTGTAGAGGAAGAAGTGGTTTGAGGGTAAGTACCTTGACTTGAGAAGGATGCGAAAGGTCAAAAGCTTTAGGGAGATCAGTAGTATTGGCCATGGGAACTCAGAAAACAAAGGAATAAGCTGAGATACAAAAATGGAGCAGGTGGGTAGATGCCTTATTTTAAGAACTCCTCTTCTGATTGGCGCCTCATAACCATCCTGACGGGAGAGCGGGGGACGTATATTTCTTTATTAAATAAATTGGACCCGCCGTCCCTGTGCATGGGTCCACAAGATATAAAAAAAGTGAAAGCTAACAGCGACGCTACAAATAACCAAAAAAAATACTTAAATTTAATACTTGTATTAAATAAAAATATTTTTAATAAAAAAATGCCTATACTTACTAAAAAAAATCACAAAAGATGCAGGCTATTCTTCTTTTTAAAATTAATAATCATTTTTTTCTTAGCCAAGTTTTCCCGTTTTGCCTCTCACTAAATTTAAAAAAGAAAAAAGGAATGATCTTGTGCGTGGGTCTTCTGTAATCTGTGCTCTGAGATTCTCGCACCAAAGCATGAACAAATGTCGCGGTCCGATGACGTTTTCTTGGGCTGCACAGCAGAGGGCTCCGCCCTCCGGCCTCCGGCCTCCGCCCTCCGCCCTCCGCCCTCCGGTCATCTATCCAGTCTAAATTCTGTGACACGACGTTGAATGTTCGCTAAGGGGGCCCCAAAAAAAAAACCGACGTTGAATCAAATAAATAATTGCTTTTTTTGCCAGAAAATAAATTAATTTCTTAAAACACTGTACATATTTTTATTTTATATTTTTAAGTATTTTTTTCATATCCTCCTCTCTCTACACATAAAATTATGATTCAAATTATCTCAACGTGGAGGGAAAGAGATAGCTTACTTGAATGATACTACTTATATTATTATGAGAATTTTTACAAACAGTGTCGAAATTATACTACATCAAGCTGCATAAAAATCTATGGCAAAAAAAAAAAAACTGCATAAAAATCCGAAGAGCCAATTTAAAAGTTGAAATGGAAATAAGGATACATTTATTGGGGTTATAATAAGCAAGCACCTTCAGACACGCCAAAAAAAGAAAATCGAAGTATAACCCTTCCGATGAAAACAAAAGCTCAAGGCAAGTAAATCGTCTAGCTCTTTATTTACGTTGCTGAAAACAAAATAAAACAAAAATAAGTATCAGGTCAAAAAAAAGAAGCAAAAAAATAAGTTTAAAACAATGCTTCCGCGTGAAACGATTTATACTTGCCAGTTTATTTATGGTGAATACCTTTGGATTTACAGAATAAGATTTCTAATTATTTTGGTTTATTAATAATGAGTTAATGACGGCAGGCATCTCCCTCAGCCCAAGACAGAAACAGAAACACAAAACCAGTCAAATGGAACAAAACAGTTTAGTCGAATGTTGTACATATGCATCGTTATCGAGTAAATGTTCAGTAGCGAATTAACATCAAGTCAAATACGCGTTTGTGTGTAATTTTCACTCTCAGCCAAAACAATTTGGCCTTTTTCTTCCACAATAAACGTGTCGGCGAAGACCACTTCGGCCAACGAGTCGATGAGTCTGCTCGCAATTTAGAAGAAAATAGTAAAAAAGAAAGCTAAGATTAGACTTCATTGTTCACATTTTAACTACTTAAATTTTCTTTTTTTGTTGATCCGTACAAAATATTTATATGAAAAACAACTTAAGAAAATGTTTTGCAATAGTTTTTTTATTAAAAACAAAATATTCGCCTCAAAAGCTTGAACACTAGGTATGAGGCGCATTACAGTTATATGTCATTAAAAAAATGGTAACAAGGGTAATATCTGTGAGTTATTCTAGTTGCATGTATCGGGCGGCTTGCTTATTTATAATTACAAATCGTGAGGCCCCACTTCTTCTCTTGAAGAAGGGAGAAAAAGAAAGAGAGGTAAAAAGCAAAATTGATGTAGGATCCAGTTTACCGTCCCAACTCCCACGGCTCATACGCGGATTATTACATGAAGCCAAATGAATGACTGACCGGCCTGAGATTCTTTTTCCAACTCCTGTCACTTTGACCGACTTATTTCGAGACTAGAAAGCAGACATATAGTTAACGAGAAAATTAGAACTCCTTAGTCCTGGTATTATTTTAAAATATACTATATCTGATTTTTAATATAAAAATTAATTGATTAATTTGAATTGACTAAGAAAATTAGTTAAGTTAGTTATTTATAATAAATAGATATTATCTTTCTTAAAATATTTTTACTATAAGCACTACTTTGTAAAAAATAGATTGAGATCTAAAATCAAATTAAAAATCAGGAGATAATATCACCCGATTACAAATTACCAGCTTTAATGCTACACTAGTGTATACAAGATTACAAGTTGATGTTTAAAAGACTGAGAGTATCCGAGGGGTAAAAAAAAAGGGAGAAGAGGAAGAAAAAAAATGAGAGTACGTTGGGCCTTCTTAGCTTGTGACACATCAATGTGCCTCTCTCTAATGGTCCTCTCTTTTTAAACTTTTGACGTGGCGATTGGTCAAAACTTTAAATGAGCATTAAATGTTCTGTAACGATAAATGCGAGTTAACTATCAATATGCGTTTCACGATTTCTTAGGTATATTTTTCGTTCCAAACATGTGCTGCGGCATTAATCTTGTACTTATCATTATCATCATCGCCAAATACCGAGTAAAAAACTAAATAACACTGTTTAAGATATAATTCTGTACTGTGTATTGTGACTTTGATTTGGGGTCAGATTTTGCTGAAAAATCGGACATGCACAGGGATATGTCTAAAAAAACTAGGTAAGGCCGTAAAAGAAGCTAGCTCTGCAAAATCTAAAATTCCAACGTTGGAGAATAAAACATGGGAATTCACGGGCACGTAGATAGCAAATTTGCATAATGTGAGGGACAGCGGGAGAATGAACACATGTATGAACCTCATGGGAGTGGTCACCCAGAAGCCCCCCAAAACGCCAATCTCAAAACTATTTATGGCATCCTGAACACCCATCCCAATCCTAATGAAAGGAGTGAGTTAGTCATCAGAATTATCTGCAGCAATCAAAAAGGGGAAAGAAATGGGAAAGATGAGTTTAGTGGTGGTGGTGATGGTGTTGTGGGTGATGGTGGCTGGGCCAGCTGTAATGGTAATGGGAGAATTGGATCTACAGAGCGTGCTGGATAAAGCAAAAGAGGCAGGCGTCTCTCAAGAAACTATACAACAGGCCGCTAATAGTGATGAAGCCAAAGAAGCTCTTCAGGATGGAACTGCCCAACAAGCTCTCAACGATGCCAAGGACGCCATGAGCGATAGTAGTCATGGCGGCTCCCCCTGGAGCGACTGGGTCAAAAGGTATTCGTGTATATACATGTAGATGTATGCCTTTTACTTCTTCTCGTCAATTCTTATTCTGTTTTGATTTGGAAGCTCGGAAACTGACAAGAGATTATTATGGTTCGATTTTAGCAACATTGGCCTCGGCAAAGGGAGTCCCGCACCGTCTCCGGAAGATTCAGGATCATCATCATCGCTGGTCGGAGACATCGAGCTTTCTCCTTCACCGTCAGAAGAACCGGTAGGGTCACCTGGAAAGGCGCCGGCAAGTGCACCGCCGGAGGGATCATCTCCATCACCATCACTTTCTTCGTTGTCATCGATGCTGTCGCCATCGCCATCGCCATCACCCACCCTGTCCCCATCACCTTCGTTACGGTTAAAATTGTCGCCAACACCAGCCCTGTCACCATCGCAGTCTCCGTCGCCGTCCGCGGAAGCACTGGGAGAGGCCCAAGATGCCGAGGAAGGACCGACTAGTGCACCATCGCTAGCTCCCGAAGCGGAGTAAGTCAACCCCCCAGGAAGATCAGAGAGGCAAACAGCTTAGGAAACAAGATAAATTAAATGAAATGAAATAGGATATTTCTCAATTAATTAATTCGAAGTTCTAACCTGACTACTTGCACAGTTAACAGGTTCCAATGTAGGCATAGACTCCTCCATTCTTCACTCTCTTCCTCACAAGTGAAATGGCAGGGTTTAGAAAGACGGTGGCTGCCCAGATGTTGTACCACTTTTCGCTATCAATAAATCATACTTATTCTTTGTTTATCCAAAGAAGAAGAAGAAGAAGAAAATCATACTCATTCTTTTGTATCCTCTCTTTCTGTACACCCGTCAAATTCAAACGGCTTGCTTCCAAATCCTAGCCCGGATCTATTGGTGGTTGGTGCAATTTCCTCTCCATTTGTTCAATTATTCCCAATTATTTTTAAAAAGAAAAGCTCAGGATACAAGTTATGTGATGTATTGATTGTATTATATATACGCTGTCGTCTACAACTTGGGTTACTTTAATAATCCTCCACTGCTATTTAAGTGAACTCCATATTCGCCTCATCGCTTCAGTGTTGTTATCTCCATATATTTCTCGTGCTAATCATCGCAAGTAATGACACCACGTCGCAGCGGGTACCGAAAGCGAGGTTGTGCATATTGGGCCAAATCTATCGGGCCTTAAGTGGCCCAAATCCATAGGAAGGATAAAAAAGGTTCCTTAATTACATAGCCAAGTCCATACGAAGGATAAATACTAATGAAATGAATGCTTTTTTTTGGTTTGCCTTCAAAAATAATGTGATACGGATCACATGTAGTCTCATCCCTTAGATATGGATGTTGAATTTTTCCTGCGGATTACAAGATGCCGGTACTACAACGCAGGCCAGGGACAGGGAATGTGGTTCTTTTCTTAACAAGCATTATAACTTTCCTTCTATTTTCATGACTGTTACTTGATTTGACATTTTTTATATTTATAATTATTTTCCATTCTATTCAAAATAACTCAAAATCATATACAGTATATATTTTTGTACTGATCTAAAAGGTGAAATCTGGGATGACATCACCGTTTGAATAGAGAAGCATTTTCAGTTTCTCTCTTATGATTTCTGGCGCTGACGTGACTTTGTAAAGACTGGCACAAAAATAATGTTTTGTTCTGACTGGAGATGAGCATGAAGATGTTGATATGGTGGAGTGATGAGAGGGATGCGAATATATTCTGTTGGGATGAGATGAGATGAGATGGTAAAGCAGATAATATAATGCTGTCTGGCTAGTGTCTACCATTGAAGGCAGGGATTAAAGAAAGATTAGTGTTGTGTACGTAGGGCTATCACTATATATGCCGCATGGTAGAAATGCAGAAACCCTGTAAGTTTCATCGGTCACAATAGAGTTTGATTCTACGTATCTCCTTCACGTGCATGTTACGTCCTTCCTCACCCACTCTTCTTGTTACCCATCACTTTCCTCCTCCCTCTCATCTCTCCTTTTTCTGCTCCATCTCATTCTATATGCATATGCACCCAGCTATTATATTCTCTCTTTTTTTCACATTTGGAGGAAAAAAAGGATTTTTAAAGATCCTTTTTGATAAGGTGCATGTGGCTTAGCGTCACTGCTTACTGTTTAGTACGAGTTTACCAGGACATTTAACCTGCAGTACTCTTGCGTCATACTCTGATCTCAATAATCGTATATATAAGTTCCATCTTTACTAATAAACGGCTAGATCTTCAATATGGCTATATACGGATTTCTAATATATTAGTTTCGTTTAGTAGCTTAAATGGTTCGTTAGATATACTTAATATGATTCGGTCCCAGACTTAAGGCTACGTGGAGTATTTGCTTTGAGGAAAATTAAGAGATCAATAAGAGAATCACTGTGCATGGGTTCTATCACAATAACGTGCAATGATCAGCTAGTCCTCAGAAAGAAATCATCAGACTCAAACAAGAGGAAAGGTCTTTACGTAGTTTTGTTGGTATAAAGACCCACTCATCGTGTTAGTAATAAAATCATGAATCAAACAAACTCGCTGTCTTTACAATCCTATTCTGGTTAGTTTGATTTAGTCAAAATATAAATTGCTAATAACTACTCCTGGGAACTTAATAGTGTCTTTCTGCTTGAAGCTGTTCAAACTATAATCTAAACTTTATCTATTTACGTTTATCAAGAAACTAATTAAAATCAATTTAAAACAATAAACGTGTCAAGCATATTTTCATTTTTCCTAATATATCTTTATTAATGAAGAGAATAAGTAAAAGATGTAATAAATGAATTAAAGAGAAAAGAGAATATATAAGGGTAAAATTGAAAAAAAAATCTATTAAATATTTGAACAAAAGTAAATATTATCTTATTAAAAAACTAATTGTTTTAAAAAAATTTATTTTATATTTTGAATCAAAAGTCATATTTAGCCTGATTTTCTTTGTAGCTTTGTGTAAGATTGGGTACTCACTTTTATTTTGTTTCCTTGGGTTCCGAATCCCGCAGACAATAATAATGAATACACCACCATGGTCGGTGCCTTTGATTTCACACGTGCCCCCTCTTTTTATACACGAGTTTATACTTTATATAATACTTACGCTTTGTGCTTTGAAAATGAAAATTTCAAAACGAGTTTAATAATTAAAATACTTAATTATTTTTATCATTTTGTCATTTGATTCAATCAAGTTTAAATAATTTTAATTTACATTTCAACTGAGCAAATTTATTTTTTTCTGGGAAAAAAAATCGATGCTCTCCTTACTTTTGTCATTTATTCTCTCATTATTATATAACACACGATAAAAAAATTGTGTGTTGCTTGTCGTCTTATGTAACCTTCAAATTTCAGGACCTTCAGGTTTGTTATATATTATTATTAGGTTGGGACGGCTCTCTGGGACTGCAATTTTGGTGTATATACATTATATCCAGAGGTTTTACATTTCGCACTACATGGCCATGGCAAAAACATACCATTCATTGAACTTCAATTAAATTTTATACATTTGTAGGAATTATTACAAGGCTTTCATTCTTCACATAGAGAGAGAGAAAGAGAGAGGGTGAGAGAGAGAGAGAGAAGGAGGATGGACAAAGCGAAGCATATTACATACAAATATACTTAATTGAGAATGAAGGAAGTAGGCACATGCTTTCAGATTGATGATATATATATATATTCCATTTCTCCCCAGTGGCTCTCCTTCCGACGTACTTCACTGGAGGCTCAGATTCTTCATCCTGCATTACATGTGGGTGAGAACCAAAGTAGAAAACAAAACTAAATACGACATAAATACAGCCACAGCAAGCAGAATCCTAGTTTTGCCATTAAAAGCAGAGTGAGAGCAGAAAGCGAAGGGGATCGGAAGAGTAAGTTAAAGGTAATATCAGAGGAATCTAAGAATAAGAATAACCTTCGCTCCTGATGATCCAAGTAAGTAGTGTAAGTTCTGAGGGTGGAAGACGGTCCTCCTCGTAATGCTTCAGTGTTTGTATTGTAATCAGGCAGAGGGACATGGCCTTCCTCGATCAGCTTCACATCTTCAACAAGCTTCTCATAATGCCTCTTCACTTCCTCCACCGTCTTCCCTCCCACCGCTCTCGCCAGCTTCTGCCACCGGTCCGGCGTCTCCTCGGGGTACAACGCCAAAGCATTCTCAAATCTCTTGTTCTGCTTCGCCGTCCAAGTCGAGCTCGACGCCATTATTCTAAACAGCGATGATGATGAAGAACTAGAGGCTGAGAAGAGAGCGTATGGTGAGAGAGAGCAGAGAGGGAGTCACATTGGTGGGCTTTATATACAAGTGGTGACGGAGAAAGCGGACTTGTCTCTCATGCTAGCTGTTACTTTCCAAGCAAATACTGTGGGAGCGACAATATGTGCAAACCATGGATACTTTGTTAGCCATTTAGTTTCTCAATAATTATTAGTCTAAACTTTAACGCCTTCTTTTTCCCTTTTTCCCCTGTTTGGGGCTGAATTATTCACGCCTAGCTATTCTATCTCCCCTTGTTTGCTTCCTTCCCGTAAACTTCACTCCTTATTCTTCTAATTTCCCTTCTCACGTGCATGCCTTCCTTAATTTGCTTATTGTGATCAGCAAGAATCAGGTTTCCCATCAATCGCTCTCATGACATGGTACTGATCTTCAAAATATAAGTTGATTTCTCTCGTGATTAACTCATCATTGAGGTTTAAAGGGTTTTGACCATTGATCCTTATGATCCGCCTCATCATCAGCTTGTGCAAACTGAAATATCTATGGACGCACTATTATATTATAGTTATGAACTTGTTTTATTAATGAAACATGTACAGTGAAAAGAAAATCAAAGGCTTAGGTAAGGTGGTCTGGTACAGTTTTGGAAGGGAGACGACAGGGTGGGGCCCACCTGATACTGAGACGTTCACGGGCGCAGTTAACATGAGGCCATGTAGTAAATTGATATCACGCCGTAAGTGCTGACGAAGAGCTCTTGGCTCTCGCATGCCATCCCAGCGCCCAATAATTCGGATTTTCTATATCTCTAAGCCAGGAAATGGATGCAGTTTCGTACAAGAATGGAAAAGACAGGGGGAAAAACCAAGAGTTGTAAATATGAGATGAGAGTTCCATGAAGAGTCATTTTTTAGCTTTTAACACTCTAGCAATGTGCCAGTATATGAATAATATTATCTGGGATATGAGTTAAAAGCCAAAAGCTGCGCCTTTTCATGTCTTTTGGACGTATTCTGCTTCATTCCTTGTTACTCTCATCTTTCTCTGCAAAAATATTCTAAACCTCATGTTGTGCTTCTGCCATCCTCCTCCTACACCAACTCCTGCTCCTACTCCTACAAGAAAACATCTGTTGTTTCGGATGGTCATTATTTTATTTAGGGTACAATACTGAACAAATTGCAGAGTACTGTTGGTCCTACACATGCCATGAACCATAATTATTTGTTGTTACTGTTTCTCGAACGAAAGAGAGAGAGTGCCAATCGAAATATTATCGGATTATCCTGAGCGTTCTTGTAGCTTGTTAGGCTTACTGTAACAGAGCTTGTTTTGTTGCTAGAGTAGCAAGACATGGCTAGCTAGCTGTACGTTACTTTAAGGCTAAAAGGCTACGTGCTTCTTCAAATTAAAGTGAACCCCAAAGTTTATGCGTGTGGCGCTTTCAATCTGTTTCACCAAAGCACCTGTATGAACTCATATCTCACAATGTGGGCGACCGAAAGCACTGTCTTCGTTATTTGTATTATTTCTTTCACATTGAGCCTGAAAGGGACCATCATATCAGGAAAAATGAAAAGGAAGGAAAGAAAAAAAATGTGGCCAGCAATAACATTTGGTCACACCTTTACCTCTTCTTTGCAAGGGGTTAGATACGTAACATACCTTATAACGCGACGATATGTTGGTAACTTAATAGTGTCTTTCTGCTTGAAGCTGTTCAAAGTAGCTTTTAATTTAAGTATATAACTGGAGATCAGAAACTTGTCTGTATTATTACATTTAAATTTCTTGGATGGTCCAAGGATAAAATGCATGGAAAGTAAAGCAGTGATGCTGATAACAGAGAATCCTTATCATCCACGCACCACGCATATCCTGGGAGCTAAAATTATATTTGTGAACTGTGAATAGCTTCCCTTTTAACTTCGCAAGCTTTATGATAATTCCCCTTCCACTGCCCACACAAGTTGCATTATTAGGGCCCCTACGACACTCATTAGTAACCAGAGGTTTTGGGAGATCCTGTCATGCTTGGATTCCAAATTATTGATGCTCTTATGATACAACAAGTCAAAGCGAATCAGCAGCTCAAATCTTTCACGAACACCATTACTCCCACTGCTGCAAAAATTGACCCCTAATAAGTATATACAAAACAGGAGTGGTCAAACCCAATATCAAACTAAAGGACCAGTTCATGGTAAGGTGGTTCTCTTCTGAGTGGGTCGATATTGATCGAGATATACAATCACAGAGGCAAGGCCTAAACGATGGTCGATGTTATGTTCTGTGTCTTTTATAGATTTGGGCCAACAAACAAATATATGCGCCCGCGTTAGAGAGTAGAAATCCTTATCATGTCTAGTTCATTATATATGTGTGCGTGTGTGAATCAACCAATCACGAGAGGGGCTCGTTTGTTCTTTGTTGCCAACATCTTGGAAAATCAAAATTATCGCTTATTCTTTTAGTGCGGTCCCTTTGCGTACAAGTTGAACGGGATTATTCTGGGTCTAAACACTCATATTATGCCCTCTTCCCTGCTCCAGACAAGTTCCAATCAACTGCTTGGCGTTCAACAAAGCGATGGAAAATGGCGTAGATGTTGGGGGAATATAAGATAAAAAAGGAGAAAGTCATAAACCCCAAAAAGATAAATTCTGATGTCGACTCAATAATTCCGTCAAGGTATAGACAAAAGTTTTGCCGGCGACAACTTCCGTGAAAACTGAGCACAAATGTGAAACAATCACAGAAGCTTTCGGATATCTTCACGTCTCACCCGTTACATCCCAAGGCAGCTATGTTGGAAGAAAGCCTGGGTTAGTATTATGGAATCATGCAGTCCAGTGATGATATGATACGTGGTATTCGTAGATAACATATCCAATGACAGCCTTATTGACGATACATGATGAGATATATAGATTCTCGCACCAAAGATACTTTATGGGATTCTCGCATCTATTCTGTCCTATAATGACAGTCATAGTGGGTGAACTAGCAAGTCCAACAACAGTGCAAGGCGATGCTCTTTTGCTTGTGTTGGGGTTCAAACAAAGGGGCCGAAGCTCTGAAGAACAAGACACAGTAGCGTATTTCCTTGGTTTGTTTATGTATTACTGATAGGGGCCCTCCATGTCTGATGTATTCATAATATATATATATATATATATATATATATAAAACAAGACCCTTTTTCTTTACTCCTTTGATTTAAGGTCTTATGTTTAAACTATTTATATATGTATATTTATACGTATATTTTCTTTGTTTTGATGTTCCCTTTTGTCCTTTTATAAAAGTTATGCTTCAGAAGAAATTTGTGATGTTAAATTGAAGTCATTTTGCAAGTTTTCAGAGTACATAGTGTTTGTTTTCATAGAAATGCCATTATGAATATCTAAGATATGTCTTTTATGTGTAACATCCTGAGTTTTATCGGGTTTTAATAGCCTCTTTTAGTTGATTTTGAGGATAGATTAGCAATTTAATCTTAATCTTGGTGTTTGGGTTGGATTTGAGGTATGTTGGAGGAATAGGTAAACGTACCCCTCTCAGGGTATGTTCCTCACTTCGCCGCGGCGCACCGGGAGTTCCAGGTAGGCTTTGTGTTTCGGGCAGGTTTGGCCGCGGCGAAGTCATAGGGACGCCGCGATGAAGTTGTTCAGGTGAGCAAGGCTTCCCTTTCGGGAAGGTTTCGCCGCGGCGAAAGTGAGGGCATGCCACAGCGAAGTTTTTCTAGGCGAGCGAGAGTTTTCTTTCGGGAAGCTTTCGCTGCGGCGAAGTCAGGTTTTCAGGTGAGTAATCCCTCTCGGGATTAGTTCGCCGCGGCGAAAGGTCCTGAATCTATATAGTCGTTGGAAGGGTTCAGTGTGCGAAAATTAGAAAATCTGAAGGAGGAGAAAGGAGCTCTGCTAGGGTTTCGAATTTCTGGCTTGGATGGGGCATTTCTAAGGATCCATTACCTCAAGTAAGTGATTTTAACCTCTAATCTACTTTTTTTCTTGGAATTTCTGAGGATTTTTGGTGGAACCCTAGGATTTTCTAAGTTGTGATGGAATTGAGGTTTTTGACCAATTGTTTTGAGTTTAATTGATTGCTTTGGGTTAGTTTAAGTATTTAATCGGTGTAGTTTTCTTGGATTTAAAGAATCTTGAGTTTTTGAAGCTAGGGTTTATGGAAATAGGTGATTTGGGATTGAGGATGACAATGTAGAGGTTGATTTTGAGTTTTGTAAATTGGGTTATGTTAAAGAAGGTTAAATTGGATGTTTAATCGGTTTAGATTGTTGTTAGAATTTCAATTGTTCAAAATAGATGTTTGGGTGTAGAATTCCTATAGTGGGTCCTTGAGGTTATGAATTTTAATTGATGTTTGGAAAGGAATTAAGGTTTTAATGGATTGGTATGACCATGGAGTGTTGCCTTGATAGTTATACCCTTTGAGTTGGGTAGAGTTTTGATGGGAGATAGGAATTTTGTGTCCCCAAGTTTTGTTTTGGCCACATTATTAGTTTGAAAGCTAATATATGATGGTTGTGTGTTTGTGTGCTTGTGTAGACCGGTTGTGAGTCTTGTTGGTGCACGGGGCCACATTGTTGGTTGTTATTCCTTGCTCAAGTGAGAGGTAACCACTTTCCAATCCTTAGTTCTTGCTTCTGTGGTATTGTGAGTAGATTTATGTTTTGTGCTCCAAGTAGTAATTATGTTCAAACTGTATGTTGTGTATAAAAAGAAAAACCGTCTTGTGGGGTTTTGATTGATGATAAATGAAATCTTGAAATCGTGAAGGATATGCCACTGAATGAAGTTACTTATGAGATGTTCAATTACTATTTGATTAAGGTTTGAGCATGATGCATGATTTGGGAATTGGTGAGAGTTTTTGATATTTACTACCACGTGGTAAGGCCTCCATTAATGCATGATGGTTGGCTCAGTACGTCCCCCATAGTGAGGGATAGGCCTTTTGGCTCCCTGCGTCCCCCAGAGTGAGGGATAAGCCTATTATGGCTCCTTACGTCCCCCATAGTGA